GCTGGGCGATGGGCTGGGTGATGCGGCTGTGGAGCCGTGTGTGCATCACTGTGGTTTACGTCCTTGGTTTTGCCCAAGTGAAACCTCAGCCAGGCGGTAAAACGAGGGTTTCATTCGCTCTGGCTGTCACGGGGCAGGGGTGTCCTGCCATCCCGCTGCCCGTCCGCTGGCTGCCCCCAGCCCGGGGCTGTGCCGTGCCGGAGCTGATCCCACGTAAGGCAGCTGAGCTGAAAGCTTGTGCTTGGGTGCTTTTTTTTTTCTTTTTAATTTCTTTTGCTTTAGAAGAAGGTCACACCCAGTCTGCTGTTAAAGCGTTTTGGGCTGGCAAAGGCCAGGGTGTCAGGCGAGCGGGACCAGGGCACTGGAGGTGAGGAGGAGCGGGAGGTCGGGGTTTCGGTGGGGTTGGCTGCCTGGGCTGGGAGAGCCCCCGTCCCTGCGGGAGGTTCCTCCCTGTCACCCGGCAGCGGGTGCTGCTGCTCCTTCTGCCGCTTTGGCATGGTAGCGGGTATGAGCACGAGGCCGACACCAGGTGTCTTCTGCCGAGCTGCTGGTTCTGGAGGTGGGGAGGATTCTCTAGAAGAAAGCATGAAGCCGTCAGTTTTCAGAGCCCCAGGGATGATGGAGGGATGGAACATCTCCCTGGGGAGGAAAGGCTGAAGGAGCTGGGGCTCTGCAGCTGGAGAAGAGGAGCCTGAGGGGTGACCTCAGAAATGTTTATAAATACGTCAAGGGGGAGTGTCAGGAGGACGGAGCCAGGCTCTGCTCAGGGATGTCCAGTGACAGGACAAGGGGCAATGGGTACAAGCTGGAAGATAGGAGGTTCCACAAAATTATTAGGAAAAACTTTTTCATTGTGAGGGTGACAGAGCCCTGGCCCAGGCTGCCCAGGGAGGGTGTGGAGTCTCCTTCTTTGGAGACATTCAAACCCCGCCTGGACACGTTCTTGTGCGATCTACTGTAGGTGATGCTGCTCTGGCAGGGGGCTGGACTGGAGGATCTATTGAGGTCCCTTCCAACCCCCAACATTCTGGGATTCTGTGATCAGTTTTCACGCCTCACGTAGGTCAGTGGTTACTGCTGATTCAAAGGATCAAGAATTCCAACTCGATAGCCAATGAGATTTTAACTCAGCAGGTGTTCTGTAGGGCAGCACCGGCAGACACGCGGGGATATTCCCGCAGCGTGTGCTCCCCTGGCTTTGCCTTTGCTCTGGGTCTGTGCAGTCACTACACACGTACTTACCCCATTTCCACTAAATAATTATTGCACCTCCTCCTGTTCTAAGAACCATTCACATACTCTTTCACTTCCCATTCTACAGTCTTTATCACCATCTACTGTAATTTCTTCTTCTTTTGGCCTGTCTTGGTGCTCGTCGGATGCCTCTGGTGGTCGTTCACTTCATCCTCTTCTGTTCCTTTGGTGACCTCCATTGCTTGGCAGATTCCACGGTGAGAACTGGCTGCAGTGACAAGGTTCTGCCCTGAACCAACTGTCCTGTTGCCCCCTTTCAGGTACAAGTTATCTTGTCTATGAAGCAGCTGTCGAGCTCCACTCACTCTGTTCTCACAGCTGCAGTCCCACGCTCTGTTCGTGCCCTCCATTCCTGTTTCACTGCTTTGGTTCATTCGTTTGCTTCCCAGTGCCACGAGGTGCCCTGCTCGTTTGGGAAGGGAGTTTTGTTCCCAGGTGTGACCGACGTGTTCTACCGGGTCTCTGGGAATCTTCTTGTCTGTCTGATTTGGATCCTTCTCAAAATCAAAATGAAGGAGCTACCCACAGCTTTTCAACAAAGCGTGGAATGGGAAGTTACTGTTGTACAGATCAAAGTGTGATGTGAAATCTTCTTCCACACTGAAGAGTTTAGATTGGGATTTTCTAGGAAATTCCACAAGGAAAGGGTGTGAAATTGTAAAAATGAAGGACAAGGGGCAGGACAGGAGCCAGTGGTATCAATTTCAAATATTTCTGCTGTTGGCCATTGTATCCTACGCTCCTATTCGTAATCTTTGAATGTGGTAGTTTCTCTTAAGTCTTGATTTTTTTCTGTAATTCCTACAAAAAGCAAAAATAAAAAGAACTTTTATATTTAAAAGAAAAATAATTGAAGTGATGGAGGAAAAACTGGAACGCTGACAGTAGTACTTTTTATTCTATACTTTTGGCTTTCATGTTTCAAAAGAACTTCAGTTATTGAAGGGAATTGTTGTAAATTCAGTTGGTCTGTAGTTAAAGCAATAAAGGTAAGTAGCTTTGATTAAGGGGGGCAGCCTCAAACAATACTCAAACCCTCAATGAAATTTTACCCTGGCAAATACGATACACCCTGGCATGTAAGACTTCTACCTGTCCTCAAAAAAGAGATAAGAAATCCTTTGTGTTTTTGTGGTTGATACGAGGTTATTCCAGGCTGCAGAGCATGCCGGTGCTCGGCACGTGGTGCTGGGTGCCCGCTGCCCACACGTGCTGGCAGGGTAAGTAGGTCTGGCAGGGGCCAGGGTGGCGAAAGAGCAACTTTTTTTTCAGGACACCGGAAAGTTGTTCTTGTTCACTTGCTTAGGCACTTTACATGGGGACAATTTCCTGATGCGGAGGTGCCTGAAGGCTTCGGACGGGATGGAAAAATGAGGACGTAGAGAAAGGAGAGCCGGGGAACAGCCTCGCGCAGTCGCGCTGAGGTTACAGCGAACCCCCCGTGGCTGCGGAGGCAGGACTAGGTTGTACCTCAGCACAGAGAGTCTCTGTGTGTAATTCCTTCCAAGCCACGGAGAGCTTCTCAGCGTTTCTTGCGATTTCCGTAACCCACTTCGGTTCTGCTGGGTGCGCGGTGCTGCATCCGGAAGAGATAGGAGAGGAGGCGCCGCTCGCTCTGGGTGCCGCAGAGATGGAGCTGCTCAGGGCTCGGTGTTAATCAACAGGCTCTGAAGGGAGAGGGGGAGCAAAGAGTAACGGAGTGCCTCAGACGCTGCTCCTGTGTCTTGGCTGAGCAGAGGAGGGAGCTGTGCGGGACATGTGCCTTTCTCTTTTGCCCAGGAAATTGCAAAAATTCATCAAGTTGTAAAAGTAATCTGCAAAATTTCCTTTTCGTGGTGTTAGAAGCCGGGGACATAGCAGCACTTTGGGGTGGTACATAAGATCGCTGCTAAACGCTGCTGCCTTACTGAGCTTCCAGAATAAAAATTATTTTATAGATTTCCTTCAATCGAAAGATGCAGTTGAAGTAAGAAACTTGCTTTGTCAGTTTGACAATAAACAGTCCTGCATGTGAATACATTGCGGTGCACGGTCTTGCCCTGGTTTTCTTTTTTTTTTTTGTTCGTTATATAAATGTTCTAAATTAAAACAGGTTAGATTGAATCATGCTGTTTACTGACCTAGTAGACCAGACTTGATCATTTAAAGTGTCTTTAAAATCATGATGCACATGTCTGATGGATACGTTAGCTTGTGTGGTCAGTGTGCTACGAGTAAACCACGCAGAAATGTGCCACGTGCGGAAAGAAGTGTGTATCTCGGAGCTTAAGGCTAAATCCCTTGTTTGTGAAATCTTTCCATATGTGAATTTCGTCATTGACTTGGGAGATGGCAACACGAGTTTAGAAAGCTTGTGGGTGAGATATGTAACAATTCACGTTCTCCGATAGCCTAAATGATAAGCCCCCCCAAAAGTACATAAAGCTGTGAACACCTTTTCTTGACAGAGTTTGAAGACTGCCGAGGAACACACGATTTGAGTCATTTAACAGTAATACCCATGGAAGAGCCACAAGACTTACCCGAACAACCAGTAAGTACATTTAAAAAGGCTAAAAATGAACAGATCTAGCAAATTGTGGATCTCACAAATTCAGTAGCCAGCTATTTTAATTAAAAGTGGAAAATAAGGCTTAGTGTATTTATGTAGAGGTGAAAAATCATTTTACTGTTAGTAAAAATGTGTTATGTGTTTAATTTAATAGTACAGGCAGTAAAGGGAATAGTTATATGTGCTCTAACCCTGTGATATGGCTTTGTAAAATAATTATTTTTTATGCTCAGAAAACCAGACTGTTTCAAGCGTCTTTTAGATAACTTAAAATTCAGGGTTTTAATGGCAGAATCAGCATGCTGGTTGTTACAGTGTGAGTAGCCTTTAATTCTTCTTGTACTTGAGATCTCGATCCATCATCCCCACATGTGGAGAGCATGTTTTTTTTAATTCTTAATTTAACAGTGTGTTTGAGTAGGCTGGGCTGTCTTAAGTTAAAAATTGCTCTCTGGAATCTTACGTATTTGCGGTGCTGCCTGCGTTGACCGAGTATCACCTCGCACGAGTGTTGTTAGTGCAGTGTGAGATGAAGTTAGATTTGTGTATCTAAACCAGACTAGTAGAGCAATTAAGCAACGAAGTTTGTCTTAGCGCCATATTGCCAAATTAAACCTGATGGAAACTCAGTGAGAAATCACTGAGTTACCTTGGGAGTGAATCTCCTTCTGATTTCAGAGACCTTCTGAAATGCACATGAAAATCCAGGGCTGTCCCCTGGGCAATTGGGGAATGCTCTCCTTGAAAACATCGGGATGCCTTTTCAATGTGAGAATTTGATGTCCTTCAGTTAACTACTCAGAAAATCCATTGTAATGTCATTTATGCAACTTCGTGACTTAGGAATAAAGCTGAGTGTAGTGGAAATGTCAAATTACAATTGTTCAAAATATTGCTTGACACAGCGTGTGCGTTATCTGCCCGAGTCGATACACACAGAACGTGACACTAATCAGCAAAAAGATATTTTGACCTCCAGGTTTTTGTAGGATTTAAAAATGAATTACATGTGTGAATTAAAAAAGTAAATACCTGCAATTGGATCCTTGTGCAATGAAAACTGTCTTAATAAGGTTTTACCCTTCACAGCATGAGAGACACAGGGTGCAGCTGATTTTCAGTACCGGAACGCCCCAGCTTTAGCTTTCAGCTGACAATTTTCTTTCCTGGTATTTTCTTTTGAGTATCTTAGGGCAGTCAGTCGTTCTGAGACAGAACAGGAGACGATATGGGTCATAAGGAGTGAGCAAGGTGGCATTTTCAGTGTAGTGGGACATTCCTGCAGGAGGGAAAGA